ACACACACACACACAGAATATAGATGAGTGTACAATGGTGACGTGGGAACACCTGGAGGATATTTAACTTACATTTCACATATGACATACTATTGCATGTACAGGCCTGGTATATCATGAATGGAATCCATGTGTCCACATAGTCAATCTAACTGGCTTTCACTACTTCTACTGGCCTACTCATTTAACAAGTTGCTGTAAACCAACTGCATGACACACAGAAAGAATGAGGAAAAAGTAAAGAAAGTAACATACAGACATTTTTATTATGGATTTATCCACCAGATCACTTCCTGACTAATCATTTGGTCTATAAAACATGAGGAAATAGTGAAAAAATGTCACAAGTCCAAAGCAAATGTCTACATAAGCGAAAACCCAAAGATACAAAGTTTAATATGATTCAATAAAAGTTAAAGCGACCATGTATGATTGGCACATCACATTTTCTGTCAAATCTCTGAAACTGTTTCAACAAAAACTGAACACTACAGGCCGGTGTACTGCACGGTGGGTTGTACACTTCCTTCATTTGAGCTTTTCTACATAATCTCAGTGTATAAGCAACACAACTGTGTTTCCCACAGCAGGGACATCAGCACACACGAAATCTGGACATCAGAGCTGTCAGACTGAATCTAGGTTGTTTCCACAGTAGGAAAAAAAAAATAAACTAATGTTTAAAGCCGCCTACAAAAATAAAAAATCCCGGCAGCATGTAGTATCAGTGCTTTAACCCGGCGTTAATCCGCACACTTCCTGATCTCTGCTCATTTCTCGGAGCAGCAGCACCAGCTTGTGCTGACGTGCTCTATAGGGTAACCCCCCACCACCGACAACCACCCCTACCCTATCCCTACCTACCCGCCCTGTGAGCCAGGCCAACATCCTAATATTGAATAACAACCACCTGCACACTTTCACCTTTTATACGCACACACATTAAACCGGCTGCTCCACCGTTAAAATGGTTTTTTTTGCCCCGGTTGTGGACAATGCTCCCGTCCCCGCTGCCCAGGGAAAGGCAATTACCGGTCCACAGCGGGAGGTCTGTGCACGCCGCCCGGCCAGCTCTGCTACCCCTGCTGCCCTTGTCCACACTCATCTCCACCGAAATCAATGCCTGCCCACTGATACTAGCAGGCCCCCTTTTTTTTCAATCACATTCCTCACAGCATCGGTGCAGCCGCAAAAACACAGCCCCCGAAAAGAGGCACAGCAGCGCCAAATCACGCCGCTCCATCTTCGCTTTGTCCGGGAAGAAAACATCCACACGGACACCGAAGACGGACCGTGTGAGTCCAGAAAAAGCAGTCGGGCAACGGGAAACCTTACCTTTCGACTCAACGCTGTGCCCGAGTAGAAGTAGTAGGCTATCCCCAGCACCCACAGCACGGCAAAACATAACAATATCCTCGATTTCCTCCGCATGGCTGCTTCTTTTTTTTTTCCGTCCGCCTGTCTGCTCGTTTTGTGGCTCTGCTCCGGTCCGTCTGCAGCGGCTCGTCCCGGTCGGCTGTGTCCGTGCAGAGCGCTTCGCCGTGCGGCTACGGCAGGCTTCGTCTAGTCGGTCAGGGGGAGCGGAGGGAGCAGGAAGCAGCCAGCCAACATCAGCGGGGTTAGAGGCCAAAGGCTAGTCGACTCTAGTCCAATCAAAGACCGGCTCAGGCAGCCCTGGAGGAGGGCCGGGGCGAGCAGAGAGGAGAGCCGAGCCGAGCCGAGCCGTGCGGTTCAGCGCTAAAGCCGAGTAAAGGGGGTGGAGACAGTCCCTGTAGGAAATGGTTGTTGTACAATTTCAGTTATGTGCGTCTGGGAGCTGTGAGAGAGGATCTGTGATCATCATGCTACATGATTTCACTGTCGGTGTCTGTGGAAGGACGCTGGGGGCGCCAGAGACACTTTAAACCGGGTTAAAAAGGAGAAAGCAAAAGCTGTCTCTTTATTTTCCACTCTGGTTCTGAACCGGTCCAGTGGAAGTAGAGACATAACCACAAAGGCTGGGAAGATTATCAGTTTCATCTATTTTTTTTTAAACTTACCTTCCTTATTTCCTTCCTCACTTGGCCTCTTCCTTCCTTCCTTCCTTCCTTCCTTCCTTCCTTCCTTAATTCCTTCCTTCTTTCCTCCTCTGTCCTAAATCTTTGTTCCCAAAATTAATGTATTCTTGTGACAGTAGGCCTATATTTTTTTTTGGACACAGTTGAATTAATAAAAAGATAGATAGATTAATAAAAAAAAACACTTTACTTTTTCTTTTTTTCTTCCTGAAAAAAAAGGAAAAAGACAAAACCTAAACTAACACATTAAGGTCCCAGATATGAATAAACATGAAAAAGAAAAATGTATAATGTATATGTTGTGTTTTATACATATATTGTGACTTGAGAATTAGAATTACAGCTGAAACAATGAGTTGATTAATCGATTGGCGTAATTATGTAAATATTTTGATAAATAATTCTTTTATTAATGATTTAAACCTTTCCTTGTTGTGCAGATTTTAAGCTTTTTCTTGTGTTCTGGGATAATAATCTTCTATAATAAACATCTTTAGTGGATAAAGCAGCATTTACTAAAGGTACATTTAGTCCCTGTTCTGGACCTTTCAATCATATCACACCATCTTCCTAAACAGATGGAGTCACAAGATGGTCGATGTTCAGATCTCTTCTCATTTATTCTTGACAAAACAATCTCACCTCGAAGTTCATTTAGTATTTGACAAAACAAGCAGTTTGATTGTTCATTTAAATGGGGAAAAGGTGAGATGGTGAGAGTAATAATCAATGACATTGATCTTTAGTTAAAAGTCAAACCAAACTAAACCAAACAGCCCTTTAACAGTCCCCACCAGCTTCTCAACCCTCAGTTACTGCATCACTTCTTGGACAGTTCACCTGTTTGTTCTGGCTCTCAGTGTGGCAAACAATAAAGTCTCCTCAGAAATGGTTTAGAGGAAGAGTCTTTAAAACAGTGTTTGTCTACAAGGTGTTTCCTGTAGTTGATGTGCAAATTTCATTCAAATTCTGAATTGTAGTCTGGTGTTTATTCTTGCTTTGGGTTTCTAAATGGTAGATAAATCACTTATAGATTAGGACTGATGAGGGACATGCCCTGACCTCTCTGAGCCCCAAATTTAAGGGATTCAGAGTCATGATTATGGTGAAGTTTGTCATAATTACGAGGAAGCATACAGCACAGTTAATGAGACGGTCGGTCCTAATTATGAAGAAGAGAATGTGCAGTAATGAAATGTTACGAAAAAGTAAATAAAGGATTATGGTTCAGTTATAGATTTTCTTTAATGTGGTTTCAAACCTCAAGTATTTCTCTACTTCTCAACTAAATACGTGACAATCGAAGTCAAACCTTAAAAAAACACATTTTAGGTATAATTTATAAAACCCTGCCTCAACAGAACTGGGTGTGGTTTGATCAGGTTTGATCAGGTTTGATTAGATTTGATGGACACTAACATGACGGGCAAGTCAAGCTGACACTGTTGAACAACTTGAAAGCACAGTTAAAATAGATGTGTTTGTGGTCTGTGGCCCTCAGATCAGCTCAATTTGAGATAGTTGCAACAATTCGGCTGAAACTTAAAGGTTCAGCGTGTTCAGGAAGGTTCAATCTGCCTCTGACATTTTACATTTTAATGGTGACAAAATGTGATTTTGACTGGACAGCATAATGCCCCGTAGGCAAAGTTTAAAAAAAAAAAAAAAAGGGTATCAATACACACTTTGTCTGTGCCCTCATAGAGAGTCCCAGTAGTATTACACACACGTATTTATTCATGGCTGCTCCCGCTACGGTGGTCTGGAGAGAGTGTGTTTATGTTACCTACAGTAGTGTTAGAGCATGGATGGATGGAAGTCAAACTGGAGAGAGAGAGAGAGGTGGAGGAGTAAGAAGCAGAGAAACAGATGTGCACATTTAGCACCACAGAGGTAAAAGAGGTTTTTATCTTTTGCCCTTTGCCTTTAGCGTCCTGAATAACTGTTATGAGCATCTCAAATTACCCCTGAATAGGGTCAGTTTGCCTTTCAAGACCTCTTCCAGAAATAGAGAGGAGTCTGTCTCTTGGCTGTGAGCTTGTCAGTCATCCTAACTCATGTGGTATTTGTAAAGAATTAAAAGATGAATATGTATTTCATTATCATCAGTTCTAATAACTCCTTTTAAATTAAGAATTAATCAAGGCTTATGTTGCAATGATGACTCCAGATGGACGTAATGCTACAAACTAACTTCTGACTCTCAAGTATCCTGCTCAAAGAGGTGCCTTTGATTTATTATGTTCTTCTTTGTCCATTTTCTGTCGATTATGTCTAACAGGTGTGAGTCTGTCATCACTATATAAATACGAAGCAGAGACACAAGTTTGTTGTGCTTTAAAAGAGATGAAAAACTACAACATACACTCAGTTCCAGCAAAGAGAAAATTACTGCGGCAGAGAGTCGATCACATGATCTAAGAAAGTTGTCGGGCTGAAGGCCTCAGATTTAAAGAATTAATCAATTCAAGTCACAAGTCTGAAAAAGCTTTGATGAAGTGCCAGTGAAACACAAGCCCAGCCACTTCAAGTACAGGTGTTGCAACATTAACTGAGCATGGAGGATTGTGGAAAGCTTGCCTAACTGGAAGAACTGCTGCCAAGGCAGGGGGATGTTTTCTTTAACTCTGGAACATGGACTCATGACTTGTGCATGTATTTTTCAAGCTGTCATGCATGTGTTACACCATATGATCTGACCAGCGTAGTTACTGTATCACAGACACACTTCAGAGACACATGCCAGCTGTATTATTATGAACAGTCTTTTCAGTTCTGCAGTTCACAAACTAAGGGCTTCACTGATTAGGCAACAACTCAGTTACTTTTATTATTAGCTGACTTTATATACACACACAATAGTCAACATGTTTTTCCACATATTTAGTGATATATCTTGTTCTAGCTTCATAGTATTATATTAATATTGCATGGATGGAGTATACTGATGGGTTTTTCTAAATGTTACCTTCAATCAACCTTTATCTGGTGAGCAGTGATCTTTATATAGTGGACAATGTCACATATCACTGAAAACTGTGTGAGCACCATATATCTTCTAATGAGGTTGATGGAAAAAAAAAAGCTTTCAATAAAAGTCCCCAAACCTTTTAATATGTAAATGAATCAGCTCTGAACTGCACAGAGGATTAAAAATCAGACCACTGAATTACTAAATAAACATGAAATATGGACTTCTGAGTAAGTTCGGTACATCAAAGCACCAGATCATTATTTATGCCTTAAGTATAGTTGTAATGTAAATCTCTGAATTCTTTAAGAGCCTGACATGTTTGTTTTTTTTGTTACTTTTTTTCATTGTTTTCAAACAATGTCAGTTTAAACTATCAATTTACAGCATGAAAACATTGAGCTGTCACTTAGTGCCAGCCTTGTATCAAATGCTCACATGATCCATTGAAAGTAAAATAAAAAAAGCTGTCAGTTGAATTTATCTAAACATAAAGCAACCAGCTATTGGATTTACAGTAGGTTTTAATACACCTTTTATAGTAATAGCAGAGCTTTCCTCTTAATAGACAAATATTCTCTTGAACCTGTGTTCATTTTTTCAAATAAAGCACATACAGTGAATCCATAAAGTTACAAAGACATTTACTGCCCTGCTTCAGTATCTACAGCACAAAACACACAGAAATGTTAGCGCTTTACTTGAAACGGATACTTCTGTGATACCAGAAACAGTAGCATTTCTTGTTCTGCTATTCTGCTTTTGGGAGTTCAAGTTTCATAATGTAAAGGCCCCAAAAACCCATTAAGTCTGAGATTCTATGACTCCAATTTATCATCTCCTTCATTTATTTTACAGTAACACCGCTGTGACTGCATTCGTCTATTTTTCATTTGTGTCTAAAAAAAGCACAGTCCATTCATCTGTTTTTTGTCAGCCTCTATACTAGAAACAAAACAATACTGTGCAGGTGTCACAGCAGGCCTGACATTCTCAAAGAGTCATACCACATACCTGCAACATCCCTGTTTCAAATGCAGTTTGGTTGCATGCCTTCCTCTCTAATCTCCCCTCACAGTTCCTGTCTGACCGTCTACTCTATTGAATAATGGCAAAAATGCATAAACAACTGCACACAAAATGACGCAATTAGACAGGCTTGAGACAGCATTGTATCTAAATTTATCTGTGTTAAATCATTTTGGAAAAACAAAACAGCAATATAGAAAAAAACATATCCATACATTCTTCAGCAATTCATCATACCTCACTGAATTCAGTTTCTTCAAATAATAATATAAACACAACATTTGACACATCCTTTGTCATGGTTGCAATGTGAAGAGAATCTGATGAGGAAACACTTTAACCTTGCTCAAATACAGATCCCATACTGACACAGGGTGAAAGTCCTCCGACAGTCGCTGTGCCTCCTGAGAAACAAGGAACCTTTCCTCCAGTCAGACATGTGCTGTATGTTTATGGTATAGGGTGTGTTTGCAGATAACAAATGTTAACCAGTTACTTTGTATCAGGCAGTGCGATCGGGTCTGGTCATAACACTCCTCAGGAGCCATTTTTGCGTAGCTCCTCTGAAGTATTTTCATCTTGATTTTTTAAAATATTGTACTTGTACTAAAACTGTGTTTACACTGTGTACATCATATGGCATCCTCAAGCTGTTATGGATGGATTCTCCATTCAAAAGCAGAAATTACATATAAACAGTCTTTCCATTTATTTCAAATTTCTTCTAATTAGTTAAATTGAAAACTAAACAAAAGGTTGATGGTGCTTGATGTAGCAGTTCAAACAGTGTACTTGTCCTCTCCTTGTCTCTGTGCTTTGTGGTAGTGGGTATAGCTGCCGTACAGCTCATTGAACACCTCTCTGACTCCCATCTGCAGTCCGGCTGTCAGAAACTTGATATCCTGCTCCATACACAGGTCCAATATCCGATAGATCCCCTCTGTTAGATGCAGCTTAATGTCTGGTCGCAGAGTAACCTGGAGAAGATGAGACAATAGAAGAAAAGACATACATTTAT